AGATAAATTATTAGGTAAAAATATCATTTATATAAACTATTATATAAACTATTAGGTAGCAATACCATAAATCATTAGGTAAAATATATTAGTCATATAAATAATTAGGTAGCAATACCATTTATATAAATTATTAGTCAAAAGTACCATTTACATACATTTTAAGGTATCAATCAATCTTTATTTTCTTTGTAGTGGAGGCCATAGGCCCAGGCTACACTTCATGATTTCAGAGCGGTACATGTGTGCATATATAGTTCAGAAGACAATAAGTTAATTTAAAAAGTAGACAAAAGGAAATATGATATTATTGGTAACAATACCACTTATATAAATCATTAGGTAAAAATACCGTGTAAATACATTATTCAGTAATAATACCATACACTTAAATGTCACAGGTGCTATTGTCCGTGGACACGCCCCTGCTCGGTCGCACTGTCCACCCACCATTCTATGGGCATCATGTAGTCTCGTTCTGGTTGTCATAGTGATACCACCCGATACAGACCCACCCCATGTCAGTCATGTTGTCTTACGCTGACGTTCGCGTGACGTTCGTCAGGACGAACCACGCCTCTTTAGAATGTTCAGAATGAGTCAATGAATAATGTGGATACTGAAATTCAAGCAACTCTAATTAAGGCTCGAAGCCATATGATAAATAATAACCTTACGCTGACGTGTCAAGATAAACAATGACCCTCCACCCATTAGGCCTACGTGCGTGCACTATTTATATGTGTTGGAGTGTTTGGGTTTAGATAAATATCCGGCTGTCATTCTTCAAATCTAAATATTTTTTCTCGATCCCTTACTTTTTAGAGTATATGCTGCTAACAGATTGAGTAATTATCCTTTGATGGGTATTTCTTGATTAACGCGACCAGCCTCAACGAGTTTCACCAAATGAAGTATGTGTTAGACTCTGTTGTCGAAAAATCACGCCAGAATCACGTTTCCAGAATCAAACTCGATTTCTGACAAATCAAACTGCAAGGCAAGATGTAATGATCACGTGATTGTTCACAGTGTTAGAAACCACTCTTTTTGGCATCAGGTTATATATATTTGTTTACCATGCTCTTACCATTGCAACGAACACTTGATAACATATCTGACAGGCCGCATAACTCTGAAAACATCTGCAGCCTCATGGTACATAAGTGAAAGTGCAATATCATAAACACCATTGTATCTAGAGATATTGAGATGCAGGCGTAATCTCAGAAACGTCAACTCAGAGTGATCTGGCAAAGCTTTGCCACTTACATGTACATACCATGTGATTACATACAAGATGTCGAGCGAGGAGAAGGCCGAGGCGAAAGATGAGAAATCTCCTGGAGCATTCTCATGTAGGTATAACTTAGAGAGAGTGTTACGGTAAACGCAGTACCGTCGTCTTTACTTCACATGAGACCCGTAAAGATCCTGGATAGAATTGATCTTCAGTAGCCCATGCTTGTCGTAAGAGGCGATCGCGACTTACGGGATCGTGTGGTCAGGCTTGCTGAATTGGTTGAAACATGTCATCATTTCCCAATTGCTCAATGCTCGATGCTCAAGCTGTTGATCACTGGATTGTCTGGTCCAGACTCGATTATTTACAGACCGCCGCCATATAGCTGGAATATTGCTGAGTGCGGCGTAAAACTGAACTCACTCATTTCGAAGTGATACTATTCACTGAAACTACGATGCACCGAGGTGAAATGAAGTGGGGGTTTAGCTGATGTCGTGTTCAAGATTATTGTACAGTGAGTGAGAGTGAGTGTGTCTCTGTGTGTGTGTGTGTGTGTGTGTGTGTCTGTGTGTGTGTGTGTGTGTGTGTGTGTGTGTGTGTGTGTGTGTGTGTGTGTGTGTGTGTGTGTGTGTGTGTGTGTGTGTGTGTGTTTTGTTGATTAGTCCGTACTTACGCCGGTTACATAGTGCTGGACTTTTGAGATGCGATGTCGAAGTCGCTACCCAACTCATACACATTAATTATACTGACGAAGAGGCAACCTGTCCTGTTTACCCGCTAATTGTTTTCTTCCTTTTCAAAAGTGCTTTCCTCCGTGATAAATTGTAAACGACCACCATAGCCATATAGGCCTCTTTTTGTGGTACAGTTTGAGTTAACGCATCCATTATATGTAGATACAATGTAATGATAAAAGTAACGTGAATATACTCTCCCCAAAAAGAAATGCATAGGTGTATGCTCATGAATTTAATCTTCTAACATTAAAGTGAGGTAGCACATGTAATCAGTTCAAGTCAAATTTTACAGTATAATAGATCACATGTCTGTTAACATGCATAGTTTATAAAAAGTTCAATAAGTGAAGGCGCCCGTTCCAAGTTGGTGTTGTCTCAGTATCTGATGTGGCCACCATGAGCCCTCAGCATGGACTAAATAAGTCTTTGAATTCAACATTGTGGAATTCTGTCCCATTCCTCTGACTATGCCTGCGACAGTTAATCTAACGTCAAGGGTGCCGGTTGACGTTCACGTACGCGCCGGCAGAGGTCATCCCACAAATGCTCGATGGGGTTGAGGTCGGGCGATTTGGAAGGCCATGGAAGCACTGTAATGTTCTCATTCTGAAGATACTGAATGGTGGCATGTGCTGTGTGAGGCCTGACGTTATCTTGCTTGAACAACACCCTCAGGCTGTTAATGATCGGAACCATGTGAATCCTTAAGATTTCGTCTATGTACCGATTTGCAGTTAAATTGCACTGTTGGCGCACAAAGTTTGATTTCTGAGTGTAGGATATGGCTCCCCACATCATGACACTTCCCCCAGCATATCGGCCAAACTGGGCGGCACAATTTTGGGCAAAACGTTAATTTCGACGTCGATATGCACGTACTCTTCAGCCATGGCACTAAAGCATAATTCGTGATTCGTCACTTAAACATACACGTCGCCAGTTTTGTAGATTCCAGAGTCCACCACAGGACCCGTCGCCGCCGAACTAATCGTCGCAGAACAGGGCCAAAGTAGGATCTTCTGGCTCGAAGTCAAGCTTCTCGAAACGATTACAAAATCTCATCATAATCTTTTTTGCACTCTCCTCAAACCAGGCACTGCAGTCGCAGTTGCAGTTGCTGTGACAGTTCGATTCTACAAATGAAGTACCCGGATGTACCTATCCTGCCCTGCTGCGGTAATCTGAGGTCTTGTGTAGAATTCGTCTGTTGATATCGGTCCCATAAACGGCTGCTGCTGCTCTTGTGAACATTGAGATGACGTACAACGGCAGATTGAGACTTCTTTGCCTCCGTGCGTCCAATGGCAAAGTTTCGATTTACAGCAGTGACTCGCGGCATAACGATATTCTTTTACATTTACCAAAAAATGCCAATGACTGAGTAAAACGGCTTCATATAGGCAATGCCTCAATACGCACGATTCCTCAGACCTGCGCGTGCATATTGCAAACCACCTTTTCTCCATGATTTTCATGCAAGTAAACTTTTTAACGAAAACGTGCATTAAAGCTTCCGAAGATGCGTTTTTGTCAATTCGCTCCATGTGAGTGAGTGAGTTTAGTGTTACGCTGCACTCAGCAATATTCCAGCTATATGACGGGGGTCAGTAAATAATCGAGCCCTGGACCAGACAATTCAGTGACCAACAACATGAGCATCAATCTGCGCAATTGGGAACCGATGACATGTGTCAACCAAGTCAGCGAGTCTGATCACCCGATCCCGTTAGTCGCCTCTTACAAACATGGGTTGCTGAAGACCAATTCTAACCCGGAACTTCACGGGTCTGTGCTTTCATCGTTGATCTTGGACGCCCCAAAGGGAGTTGATCGTCAACATTTTGGATATGTTAGCTCCTGTTAATCACAGACAGTAAAACATTGAACGCACTGCATACCGACTTTTCCTAATAGCGAATCAAACAATAGGTTTAATATCTAATTGCAGGCTCCGTAATTCTTGTTCATACAGAAACAATGAATGATATCTAGAAAATCACAACTGTCTCAAGAGCAGAATCAGGTTGCCAATGTCAGCCTACCTTCGTCGAAGGTGCCAAAATCACGTGTGTGGCGACACTGCAGGATGTTTGGGCATTACGTTTACAGACAGACAGACATATAGGTTCATCTCTAGGATATGTCTACATATCTCTGTTCTAATGCTTGGTATTAGCATTATATTTCATGATGCCAATGTCTTATGAAAAGAACATAGTACAATAGTCTAATTGAATTTGGACCAAGCTGTGGCAAGCACACCTTTTTGATGACATAATCCAAACAATGGCCCGGTTACCATTTTGTCTGCTGGTGGCATGTCTTGGCAAGTTGGTAAGTGACAATTGATGACAAGATCGTCGCAGAACAAAATGCTTCACTAAATACGTTAACACCGGGCATCAGAAACTCCCCTAAATATTCTACATTTGGATCACAAAAAGCGGACACTCTCCCCTTTTTGAAACATACTTTTGGCATATACACAACATAGGCGGATCCATTTTCAAAGGGGTGGTGGGTGTTCTAACCCCCTGAACCCCACCTTGGCTCTGCCATTGCAAAACAACTTCAATGTGGTCTTAAGTCATTTTCAAGGGGTGGGGGGTCCGAACCCCTTGCCCCTTCCTCTCCCCCCACCCATCTCTGGATCCGCCACTGCACAACATATAGGGATTCGGGGTAGCCTTGTGGTAAAGTGTTCGCTCGTCACGGCGTATGAACGGGTTCGTTATCTCAGTGGAGTGAATAACTGGAGTAGACTCTGGTGATATTACTGGAATATTGCTAAAAGCGTCGTAGAACAATACTGATTTTTATTCATTGACGAGACTTGAAATAGAATCATTTTGTGACATTAAATATCAATACATAATGGAACAAACATAAGCTGTTTCCCAAAGTTTGTACTTCTTTTCCTCCCCAAGTTTTACAGACGTTTGTATTTCTCTGTAGTGTCGTGCCTGTTCTCACAAAGATGGCTGCTGGCGTACGTTGGATTGTTCGGGGGCCTCATTATGAACGCTGCTCGTGTCAATCTCAGCGTCGCCATCGTGTGCATGGTCAACGACACCGACAGCAACGCCACGACGTTGATGTCGGAGGTAACTCACCACCTTGGCTCGTGGCTCACATTAACACTCACAGGTTTTATTATTCAGGAGTGACAGAGCCTGAAATAGCTCTGTCATAATATATCATTACTTCAAGATTTCTTACTCAGCAATCTTGTAACAAAGTTTTGGACATTGGTCACACACGTATCTCATGGATGTGTGACTCCGAATAACAAAGCTATGAAATCAGCATCTGTCAAACGTTTAGCACCGGTGGGGTTTTCCACACACCTCCTATGTTGGTAGTTGTGACACTGGTGCCGTGTGCATATTCAACCTCTTGCCTTGGAAATCGGCTCTTTTTCAGTGTCCTACCTTGTCTTGTATTGCTTATATCATGTATATGAGAAATATTACTAGTAAGAGATAAATGTAAACAGGTAACCTGGATACCCGGGACGAGTGGGTAATGAGTTGGATATCGGTACCCGTCTGAATACCCGGACCCGTTATGATCATGTGACCAATAGATTAAACAATGTAATATGTTATTCTTTCATGATTTAAAGGTTGTATTGTCTTTGAAGATTTAGACATAATTACAGTCACTTCTTTTGAATAAAATACATGGTTAAGATATTGAAAAACTCGAAATTTTAGCCTCCGAGTTGAAGAATATGTTGCCATTTCTTACAAATTTGGTGTCATGAAGTAACATAACGGGTATCCGGGTAGGGTAGGATAATTGGGGGTGGGGTACCCGGGTTGGAAATTTGGACCCGCCCCAGCACTATTAAACAAGTTACTATGTGTTTAACCACCTCCACGACTCATCTACCAATATGTTTTGAACAACGGTGGGATCTCTAAACCTAATATATACTTCCATGTACTTTACACGCTGTATTTCCAGCATGCCGAGTTCTACTGGACCAAGGGAGAGCAGTCTGGAATCCTCAGCGCGTATTTCTATGGATACATAATAACACAGATTCCTGCGGGAATATTGGCCAGTAAATATGGCGGAAAGAGAGTCATGTTTGTCGGGCTGCTCATTGGCTCGATCGTCTCACTGCTTCTACCAATCGGCGCCCGGACTTCCATCTACCTGGTGTATGTGCTTCGTGTGATCCTTGGAGTGTCGCAGGTAGAAATGACGTACAAGCCGAACATTTATATTTACATACGTTTCTTAATTTAGTTTGTTTTGTTTTTGTTAGTTTCACATTGTTTCAGTTATTACTAAAACTGACAAATTCACTCTCGAAATGTTTTAGTGCAATATCAAACAAAATTTCTTTAAAGGAAACCACAACATACTAATGGTCACAATTCCAACAGTTTTAGGCTACCCGAAACCAGTGCTGATGCACATCAAAACACTTGTCGAATGAATGACAGTCATTTGATTAACGGGGTTTGTTCCTAGCCCGAATGCACTACTGACTGTGTTGTCATCCACAAGACAGTATGGCTTCAGTTGAATTCTGGTTGATATGTGAACGCTTGGTTGACACATGTCCCATCCCAATTGTGTAGATCGATGCTCATGATGTGTCCAGACTCGATTATATACAGGCCGCCGCCACATAGCTGGAATATTGCTGGGCGCGGCGTAACAAACAAACAAATCGTACTGTCTTTCATTCCGGGAAGAGGGATTACGTTGCCAAGCGAGTTACAGAACCATACTGAAGATTGGATGAGAATTGGTCTTCAGCAACTCATGCTTTTCGGAAGAGGCGACTAGCAGGAAGGGATGGTCAAACTTGCTGACTTGGTTGGCATGTATGTCTTTGTGTCGCTATTGCGATGCTCATGACGTCAATCATTCGACGTTACAACAGGGCATGCTGTTCTTACCAAATAAAATCACGCAGCTCCACACTGACGTGTGAGACTCAAGCGCTGACCCGGCCATTAGCAGCTCGTCTAGCCCGCGAATAACTCAAACAAGCACCCTGAATTCACAGAACGTTTATATTTATCCATTCTTCTTTATCCAACTTCACACCTTCGAGTGAATGAAGCCGCCATTTTGTAACTCTTAACCAAGGGACATAACTCCGAATGGAATTTGGCAAAATCATCTCTTTGCACCAATATACAATGTAGTTTGATTTTAATAATGTGGTTGGTGTTTCCCTTGGTTGTTTTGTTTTGATACACATTCAGCCAAGTAAACATTCAAGTTGTGTTTATTGACCTTCATCAGTTGATGACAAATACAACATCGATCCTAAATGTTAAATTTTACTCTCCCCAGGGAGTCTACTTTCCGAGTCTACAATCCATGTGGGGCAAATGGGCGCCGCCATTAGAGAGGTCAAAACTCACTGCTATCTGTTATTCAGGTAAATCAGATTAAAATGTTCATATTTCTGATGAAATGTTTTTCACCGATTTTATGCGCATATCTATGGAAACACAAAGGGCATTGTAGGACCGTCGCCCCAAAAGTGAATGATTCGTGGTTCGATCACCGTCAAAAAGGCGTTAAAAAACCAAGGTTATACATTTCAATTTCCCGGCCTGGTCCTGGACAATTTTGGGATAAAACAAGACATGTTTGTCTTGGCGTCTGTGCATTGTGACCCACAAAAATCATTTGTAATGTTTCCAAAAATAATTGCTAAAGCATTTAACAAATGTCAATCTCTAAATAAGGCTCGTAGCAATATTGACTGGAATGTTTGTAGCAAATACATTCAGAAGCGTGTTTCCATGTTATAAATATTCTCAATTCCAGGACCCCAGTTTGGCAGCATAGCAACGTTCGCTATATCGGGGTTCATGTGCATATATGGCTTCGACAATGGCTGGGGATCCATCTTCTACGTTACAGGTAATTCAGAAAAATATTCCGATTTTTAAGTGAACAGATTCATTTTGAGTTCAACCGATTACTACTTCCATTGTGTATTTATCAAAAACAAGTCTCCTTTATACTTATCCCTCAATCGCAAATTGTCATAATCAGGTATTCTTTACATGAAAGTTTTTGGTAACCGACTTTTTCTGATATCTGTCTTTGTTAATCCGAAAATCCATTATGTTTATGAAACATTCCTAGTACTGTTAGATAAGACCACTGATGAGTGGGTGAGTGGGTATGGGTTTTCGCCGCTTTTAGCAATATTCCAGCAACATCACGGCGGGGACACCAGAAATGGGCTTCACACATTGTACCCATGTGTGGAATCGAAGCCGGGTCTTCGGCGTGACCACTGATGACAGTATTAACTTAATTACTGCTGACAGTGAATAGATACATGTGATATAACTAGACTATTGTTGAGCCATACGTGAACCTAAATTATTCACTCACAACGAAAATATTGTTCCCAAAAAGTGGTAGGGAAATAAAATTAAAGATTTCTTCAAATAATGCCTACTAATGGGTATCGGTTTGAGCATACCCTCAGTATATGTTGCTTAAATATTTCCTGGATAGAAATGGCGATGACGTTCAATCTATCATATCAATGTGTGTTGCCACATCTTCCCAAAAACAAAGTGATATCAGCTATTTTGGAACCTAACTGGTTATCTTCCGTCTACAGGTGGTATATCGTTGTTGTGGTGTGCGCTGTGGTATATAACGGTCGCCAGCTCACCGGCTGAACACCCCCGTATCACGGAGAGAGAGAGGGACTACATTACCTCCACTATAGGGGAAAAGAAACAGGTATCGTCCATGTATATCTTCATGGTAATGTGTTATATGCTTGCTTAACCCAGATAGTATTATCAAGCGAAAAAATCATTTATAATATCCTAGGTTTAGTTCGAATCCCCACATGGGTACATTGTGTGAAGCCCATTTGTGGTGTCCCCCGCCGTGATGTTGCTGGAATATTGCTAAAAGCGGCGTAAAACCAAACTCACTCAGTCAGTCCTAGGTTTAGTTATATAGAGGTATTTCTTGGTGTTCCTTTTCGTGATTTTGAAAGATTGTCACACAGTTCGTACATCATGAATTCTTTATTCAAGATCCTGGCTAAAACTGCCTTCTCGTTACATCCTCACAACCGAACCAAATATCATATCAACATCTACCAAACTTTCGATCATTTACCAGACGCTTTGCGACATAGTCATAAGAACTTCCCCCAACTCACTGACATATCTACCTTGGTGATCATTTTCGGTATTTAGAGTTACGTCCCTTTGATCGTACGCACATGTTGGTAAGACCTGAGGCGTGTTCAGAACCGCGAGTGCCCGCGAACGCTAGCGAGCGCTCGATCCTGAAAGCCTGTGCCCGCTCGAGCGCCCGCGCGCGCACGCGAACCATTCTCACAGCTGCCTCGCCAAGCGAACCAAGATGGCGATCATGTTTAATGTCATTCGTCACCACTCGCCCCTTTCCGTAACCTCCAAAAAGAAGACATGGAGGATATTTTGTTAATGTTGTGGTCTGAAAAAGTTGATATGTTCACGAGTTGCGTAACCATTGACAACATTAACGAAATATTCTTGTTTAGAAATGATCGAGACATCAATTTCGTAGTTCGCGTTTCGTAGTTCCAGGCAAAAGTGATATTCTACTCAGTGAAAATGACAATACCATTTATATTTTCACAATTATTTACAGTATTTCACCCTTAAGAATATAATAAAGAAGCTTTTCGGCTTGTCCCGGAACAACACGAGTTGGTCACGAATGGTTTATTGTAACCAAGCACTCGCGTCCGTTCACATAAAAAAGCGGCGCAGACAGAATTGATTCACTTACGACCCAAGACACCCATCAAGTTCATATGTTTGCGTTTCAGTTAACCTTACAAATGGTTTTCTTTTCTCTCCATACGTTAGAGAAACATCAAGTCCCAGGAAGGTTGATTGTTCGTTTTTTTCGCCGCACTCAGCAATATTCTAGCTATTCGACGGCGATCCACAAATAATCAAGTCTGGATTTGACATTCAAGTGATAGACATCATAAGCTATGATCTACGCAACTGTGGCGCGATGACACGCAGCAACGAAATCAGCCAGCCTGACCACCATTCGTGACCAACTCGTGTTATTCCGGGACAAGCCGAATAGCGATCGTCTTGCAGTTTACGGAAAGGGGCGAGTGGTGACGAATGCCTGACCACTCGATCGAGTTTGTCATCTCTTACTTCAGGGTTACTGAAGACGAATTCTAACCCTGATCATCACGATTCCCCAGGAAGGTTATGTCATTTGAAAAGGATAATAATTAAAATAAATTTCAGATGGACCCAGTACATTGTTTAATTTCAAATACTCGTAGGGTCAGTGGCAATCTGAACCTACCACCTGATTCTACACCCCGATTGGATTATTCGATTGGATTTTCGCTTCCTTATATATATTTTCCTGTAAGGGTGTTTTAAGACGTATGCATTCCACCTAAATAAAACATTCTCTTCCAGACTGGTAATTTTTTGTAATGGTTGTTGCGGTTCATTCTTTAATGAAGAAATCACGAGAATATGCTCATTCTGGAAGCACAATCATCGATCCTGGAGGGGCGACATTCGTCAACACTCGCCCCTATCCGTAACCGCTATTCGGCTTGTCCCGGAATAACACGAGTTAACATTTTATTTCTCTGTTAGAATGACAATTTGCAGAGTCTTTTCTACTTGGCCAGAATTAATGACCAGTGAAATCTTGAAGTCGGACATGTTGATTCCGGAAGTAGAACGAACGAGCCCCAAAAGGCAGAATCGATCCGATTTCCTTAATCAACAGATTTGAGTCATGCTTAAATTAGTTTACACATGAACTATTAACCGTGTTATGCAGACGTTCTCGACTCCATGGGCCGCATTGCTGACGTCCCAGGCGATGTGGGCGTGTCTAATTGCACAGGTGTGTTACAACTGGATAATATACACACTGTTGACCGACATACCAACATTCCTTAATGAAGTGCTGGATTTCAACATTACCGAGGTGCGTATCTAATTACACTCGACCAATGGGTATTTCGAAACGGGTGGACTTGAAAGAAATAATATTTAAACCATAATTGCTATGATACAGCAATCATTGAACATAACATAAACCCCATTTGTTGTTCTGAAAGTCAAAGGGTTGAGGGTGCTGGGTTAGCTTATAGTGCTTAAAGTGTTCGTTTGTCACAGCGAGGACCCGAGGTCCATTCTCCACATGTTATGGACAGAAAATTGCTAAATTGGGATATATTTTAGTGTTAGTTTTGTAATCAGAGTTGCAAGATGTCTGTGTTGCATCCACCATATAAATTTTGAATGACATCTGTTTGATTATTTTCTCAAGAACGGCTTGCTGTCGTCCATTCCCTATCTGAGCCAGGCCGTATCTGGGATGTTGTCTGGTCAGATGGCCGACTATATCCGGTCAAGGAAATTCCTCAGCACTACGGCCACCCGGAAGATCTTCCAGGCAATCGGTCTGTACAGATAACCCTTTACATCGGACAATGTCTTCATGTAAATGGTTGTACGTTTGTGTTATACTAAGACTGTTGTAACGCTTCATGGATTGTCGCAAATATTAAGTGATTCTGCATTCTGTAATTCTGTAACATAGTGGGTGGTCGATTTGAGTCTCGTTAATTCATTGCATACTCAGCAGCAAAAGAACGTCAGTACGAATTCAAAATTAGATAGGCACTGTAATCAAATCATTACAGAAAAGGACATAATAAGCGGATCAAAAACATTTTTTGTGTACAATATCTTGACACATCAATGAATAACTCAGCACAATTTCAAGACATAACGTTAACGTTTGCAGTCCATTCAGACTCTTGACTTCCGTATCTAGTGTGACGAGCGGCAATAACTGCAGCACAGCGTCTATGCATGGAGTGCACCAATCGATTGATGAAGGCCATAGGCACCTGGAACCACACTCTGTGAAAGGCCTGGCGCAATAAATCGGCTGTGTTCGGCCTTGGTATGACATTATTCAGTCTCCTCTGAATTTCATACCAAAGTTGTTCAATTGGGTTTAATTCGGGACTAAAGGCTGGCCACTGTATAATGTTGACACCGTTCTGCTGTAGGAAGTCCCGTGTAGCTCTGGCAGTATGGGCCCGGGCGTTATCATGCTGGAAAATGTTGTTCCGGTGACGTGCGAAATTTGGTATGACGTGGGGTCTGAGAGCTTGGTCGATGTAACGCACCGCTGTGATGCCGCCTCCTCCCCCTGGACCAAGGTTCTGGAACACCACAGGACCCACTTTCTGGTTCAGGCCTATTCCACCCCATACCATGATGCTTGCACCTCCTCATGAGTGTCATTACATAACACATTGGTCTGAGTAACGCTGGCCACGTCGTCGCCATATTCTTGTTCTGTGCAGTTGATACGCAGTACCGACTCTCATCTGTGAACAAAACAGTTCTCCATTGCCAGTAGCGCCAGTTTTGGTGTTGTAGGGCAAACTGTAGACGTTCACGCCGATGATGAGGGGTGAGGATAGGTCCACGGTAAGGTCTACGGCAATGTCGGTTCCCGCTGTTAAGACGTTGGCGTACTGCATCAGTACTGATTGGTCTTCCGTGTGTTCCCACCGTCTGGCATGCTGTTTCGGATGCCTGCATGGAGGGATTCTGTATATGCTGTCGCACAACATGGCGGTCTTGACGTCTTGTGGTCACCCTTGGTTCCAGTACGGGGGTGATCATTTGTGGTGTTGGTGGCCTGGAAACGTTGCTGCAGCCTGTAGATGGTCCGAACGTTGACCTGGAAGTGATTGGCAACAGCTTGTGTAGTGTGGCCAGCTTCAAGTCTTCCTAGCGCCTGGTTCCTCTGAGCTGTCGTGAGTCGCGGCATCCTGCTGACGTTCTAATGTGAATGTTTCAACCAGGTTTGGGGGTGCATTGTATAGGACTGGTCCTTGTGAACAGCACGTGCAGCATGAGTTGCATGAAAAACATAGAGAACACCGTACCATCTCCGAGGTCAGGTTGCGTTTTTGAGACCATTTCCTGTGTTCCATACTGAGTTTGGGAAGGAATGACTTTGCTCAGGTAAAGTTGGAGATGTTGTCAACAATATACAATCAAAACATTAAATGAGTTTACAGTTATCCGTTTCTGCGAAGGATAATACCAAAATGACGTTTCTTTTGCTGCTTAGTATATTTTGTTATTTATTTTAACAATATAGGTTCATGCTTTTCGATTACTTTCTTTAGTTTGAATCATTGATCATATTGATATATTTTGTTCATACGTTTTTCATTTTATATGACAATGCTATTTTCAATTTCAGCATTCATAGGATCAGGTGTGTGTCTGATCGGGACAGGGTTTGTGAATGTGGAGAACCGCTATGTTGCTATTGTTTTGTTAACAATAGGAATGTGGTTTGCTGGCTTCGCGTATGGTGGTTTCGTTGTCAACACTGTCGACTTCGCACCAAGGTAAGCCTTGCTTAGAATAAGAATAAGAATGGAAAACACACTTTTGATATGTTGTGCTACGTTGTTTTAAAAATGTGTTGGAAGGCAATAATTAGGAAATATAAAGATATTATCATAGTTTTGATTGGAGATCATTGTCAACTCTTTTATTGGCCATGTTTGCGAGATGTGTCGTCACAAAATACCATTTACTGTGTATTGATATACAGTGTGCGGATATACTGCATATTGATAAACAGTGTGCGGATATACCGTGTAATAAAATACAATGTGCGGATATACCGTGTATTGATAAACAATGTGCGGATATACCGCATATTGATAAACAGTGTGCGGATATACCGTGTATTCATATACAGTGTGTGAATATACCGTATATTGATATACAGTATGCGGATATACCGTATATTGATGTGCACTGTGTGGATATATCGTGTATTGATCTATAGTGTGCGGATACACCGTGTATTGATATACAGTGTGAGGATATATCATGTATTGATATATAGTGTGCTGACATACATTGGATTGATATAGTGTGTGGATATATCGTGTATTGATATATAGTGTGCTGATATACCTTTTATTGATATGCAGTGTGTGGATATACCGTGTATTGATATACAGTGTGCGGATATACCGTGTATTGATATGCAGCATGTGGAAATATCGTGTATTGATATATACTGTGTGGATATACCGTGTATTGATATACAGTGTGTGGATATTTCGAGTATTGATATATAGTGTGCTGTCATACCTTGTATTGATATACAGTGTGCGGATATACTGTATATTGATATACTGTGCGGATATACCGTGTATTGATATACAGTGTGTGGATATATCGTGAATTGATATATAGTGCGCTGATTTACCTTGTATTGATATGCAGTGTGAGGATATATATACAGTACTAGTGTGTTGATAAACCTTGTATTGATATGCAATATGCGGCTATACCGTGTACTGATATACAGTTATTAATTGCATAACATTTTTGTTTTATTGTGTCATACTGAATTCTTTTGCATCCAGATTTCTGTGTTAACGTGCTTCAATTTTGAAACGCAGCAACATATTTATTAATATATATATATTTCTCTTGTATGTTTGCTACTAACACTGTACTGAGGAGCACTGCACATGTATTGGAGGGTTAGTTACCTGACATGAACTAACGTACAAAAAATACACACCTGGTGTTTTGGGATAATTCTCCCCCAAGTGCCAAAAGTGATTTGATTGGACAAACATTGTGCACTTTCTTTGTACATCAGTTAGTTTATGTTTGTGTATATGATTATCCGTATATCAGTCCGTATATCCGTATCTTTTTGCAGATACGCTGGAATACTCTTCGGTATAACTAACGCTGCTGCAACGATCCCTGGAATGGTGGCTCCTGTCATAGCAGGTGCCATGACGCCAAACGTAAGTGGAAGATTCGTCATCGTTTACGAGTTTTTTTCGTTAATGTATTGTCAACGTTACGGCGGTGGTTTGTAGCGAAGGCAACGACCGTGACCCCCGATCCATTACATCGTCTCCTTCGGCAAAGGATCAGTTCTAATCGGGAAGTCCTCCGAAGACGTCACTGTTTCTCATTGTTTCTTTTGACCCGTGAAGATCCAGGTTAGAATTGATCTCTCAGTAATCCATGTTTGTCGTAAGAGGCGACTTACGGGATTGGGCGGTCAGGCTCGCTGGCTTTGTTGACACATGTCATCGTAACCCAATTACGTAGATCGATGCTCATGCTATTGGTCACTGGATTGTCTGGTCCAGACTCGATTATTTTCAGACCGCCGCCGTGTAGTTGATATATAGTTGAGTGTGGCGTAAAACTAAACTCGCTCGCTCACTCATGGTTTCTTTTAATGGATAATTCCGTGAATCTGCTTGTCGTTCTAATCCCGATTCGTCCTTGTGATTTCCTTTCTCCAATTCAGCTAGTTCTGACAAAACTTATATGATTTGCCCATGTCTCTCTCTCTCTCCACAGAAAACCCAGGAAGAATGGAGGAACGTCTTCTACGTGTGTGCAGGATTCTGTGCTCTAGGAACTCTGGTGTTCAGCACCTTGGCCCGGGGAGAGCTGCAGCCCTGGGCCGTGGACAAGGTGGAGGTGGAGGAGGGCGAAGGGCAGGATGATGATAGCTGTAGAAAGGAGGCAATTACAGATACGTCAACTCATCTGTAGCCGTTTTCAGACTGATATAATACAACATATATTGGTTACAGTCAACCGTATACATTTATAGAACGTCATACTAGTGCATTTGGACCTTTAAGTATTGATCATTCTGACTTATCAGCATCGTCGGCTGCGACGTCGGTAGTGTCAAGGACACAGAGTATGGCCACAACAGTGATTGATATGTATATGGTTTAGTGACAAATCACGCTTTTCGCTTCTCCGTACATACGTTAGACGTTGTGTTTACACACGTCGTGGGGAACGTTATGCTCAAACCTGCATACAGGAAGTGGACAGCTTCGGTGTAATGATGAGAGCCGCCATCTCTAATACTCGAACTCGAGTGAGTGAGTGAGTTTAGTTTTACGCCGCTTTTAGCAATATTCTAGCAATATGACGGCGGGGGACACCTGAGATGGGTTTCACACATTGTGACCATCGAACTCGAAGATTACATGGTAGGAGAATAGCAACTCGTTCGTCGAACTCGTTGTTTCTCTCTTAGCTGGAAATGTTTTCGTTAATTGCATAAGGTCCATATACGCACAAGTATGACATTCTACATTTATTACATACCCCATACAGACTGTGATAATCTAACCCTAAACGTCACTATTGCATTATCCGTATGATGTTTACCATGACCTGAGTATCAGTCCGCGTACGGGACGTATCACACATGTATACATGAGATAGCGTTCCTGAGCCTGACGTCATTTATCAAGTGCCAGGTTATTATGATGAAATAAATAAAACAGAATAATATTTTGCGGAAAAATACGTTTTACAACTATAATGTTTCAAATATCTCATGTGGAACACTCTTTAGTGACCAGAACGTCTTTCAAATGAGTACAACCGAAAAAGTAGATCTGGCAAAAATGGCATCCTTGCAACACGGAAATCGGAGTGCATTACGGAATTCGCAAAAGCTCGCCGTATTGCACAGGTGTATTGCTGTCGTAAGATTAAATGGGTGTGTAATTTGAAATAAATATGTAACATCACCATGTAAAGGACAGTGCCTCTTGTCAAGGATCCGTAAACACAGAAAATATGTTCAACTATACAAAGTTACTGATTCAAACATTTCCTTCAAAATTGCAAACTGTGATCCCATATATGCAATAGTCGTTCTGGTGATTTTCCGGAGCTTCTATTCGAGATTAGAGTCAATAATATATATGATTTTTGTACATATAAATTGGATTTGTGTTTGTTTTTTATTTTCTTGTTTTAAGTGGTTTTTGTATTTAGGGTCGATGAAAGGAAAGCATTCCATCATTAATGAATATAGGGTTTACAGACATTAAAAGCCGCGAAGATAAGTTAATGATGTTAATCACTGGATTTTCTGGTTCGGACTCGATTATTTTCAGACCGTCGTCACATAGCTGAAATAATGCTGAGTGCGGCGTAAAACAATAAATAAACAAACACAAAACGTAAGCAAAGGGTTCCTGATATATTCCTGAAATGCCATAATCATGTTAAGTCGCACTAAAAAGTCTCCACCAAACAGTGAGTCAGAGTTTTAATCCTCAGAAAGGTACAAGAAGTTTCCTTACTTATACATAATCATAATATAATCAACCGCTCTCCTTCGTCTCACTGGTATATTGTCAGCTACCTCTCTTGTGGCTCAAGGGCAAACAAGGGAGATACTTTTAGATTGTCTTTCACAAGGGAGCAGTCAAGCGCTTGAGTTCCCCTTCAATAGAAAAAACTCATCTCACCCCAACACATTCCAAGCTGCATGTGTGCAGTGGATGCACTTGACCAAGCCTGTCACTCTTCACACTCTCATAATAGCATAACAGGGTTAGAATCGTATCATGGAGGCCCAACATCAATCTACGATGATAAATACCAGCTAACTTGGATTGCAGACGGGTTACCCATAGCTTCCCATCGAAGGATCGTCCTCCTTCACCTTTACCACCAACTGGAGCAACTTTTTGCAAGTCATCAAGAACCAAAGCTACCAGAATGCAGGGTCTTCCCGGCCTCACCATGTCCAGATCCATCAACAAGGCGATGACATCACACTTCAAAGATCCACAGTCCGACAAAGAACGTATGCTTTTGTCCATGGTCATCCAGGAGAAGTACCAGGAGTCTATCTCCGACCAGATCTGCTCAGCATCGGCGGGACTCACCTTGCTACGTAGACAAGGAAGTATCGGCCAAAGTGGGACCTTCTGGAAGACCCATTCATCACACAAATCTTAAGGAATAGATATACCATCCAGTGAACACGACGCCACCGCTCCACTCCATCTTCCGCAGATACATTACGCAGAAACCCTACAACCCAAGCTCAAGAGGCACTCGACCCAGGGTTCTGCTCCCCAATTTTCTTGGTCCCAAGAACAATTTATCAGAGTCCAGACTAATATGAAGACGTTCAACAATGATTACTTATTGAAGACAGAGAAGTTCGGAATTCTCTACCTTCTACAGCTTAAGCAGATGATAAGACAAACAACTTTCTGGCAAGCATGGATTTAAGGGATGCATATCTGCATAAGCCAACCCACCCAGGGTCCAGGAAGTATCTACGATTCCTGTTCAACCATAAAAAAAACAGTGGAGGGCAATTTCATGGCCCGTGCTTATATACATGGGTAACCAAGCCTATCGTGAGCTTCCTTCAACCTTCCTTCAGGGTAATTTGATGCACCTTCTACCTAGACAATGGCATTAAATCACTTTCAACAAGCCGTTAAACTCAAACGTCTTTGAATTAATACTTACGATTGCTGCCCAACGTCATCCCAATCACTCACGAAGAGGGGCAGACTGCAACTACGACCCATCCAGAGGTTTCTAGCCTGACTGCTGGTCCAGCAGGACTTCAGACCACAACTACCACATCACCTACCAGAGTATTTCCAATGGTGGACGATGAAATCACAGGTTTGCGCAAGGACCTTCTGGGCGAGCTTGCTTCAACCTGCATCTGTGAGTAGACGCGTCTCTACAGGATTGGGGAGCACACCTCGACACAGAGGTAACCCTCAGGGCTGTGGTCTCCAGAAGAAAAAGCTACTTCATATCAATCACCGAGGTTAGGCAGTTATCCGAGCCATTAACCACTGGGCCCCCTTGACTGTCCCATCATTTATTAAAGACCAGGACAGCCAAACTCATCCAGCTAGCAGGCAATCCAGTTCTAAACTTCCAGATTGGTTGCAAACCTTCTCACTTATCCCTCACATGAAGCAGCAGCATCAAAACTCCGAGTGTCTTTGATCTGCACGCATGGAGCATATCAAGAAGAACTTGATCAGGTGGCGGCTATTCCAGCAGAGCAGAAGTCTTTCGGTCTTTATGCAGATCTACCTGAAGCCTGTATGATGATAAGTGAAGAGTCTTGAATAATTTGCCAGCAGTAAGGGATTTCAGCAGATATACAACCTCAGAACCCTCAAAGAATCTCAAGACTGGGCCTTAGCACCCATCAGCTCTTGTCATCAACATGGTGAAGGCTCTAAACTCACTCAGAATTCCATCTCTATAGACCCCAGCCTCACCAGGATTTGATAAAGGTCCCAATACTTCCGTGCATCTTGGCTCCGTTTGATTTTTATTGCCAAAAATCAGCCAGACGGACAGTTTCATATCCTTAATATTATCTTCAATAGAACGAGCATCAGACGTCAGAAGTTAAGACGACTTTCATCCTGCCTTCATGAGAGATGTCACAGCAGAAGTATCCAAAACAACTACATATCCTTCTGATGAGATCGATGATACTTCCAGCACAGAGATGTAGGCTTAGAACCTCCTCAGCTTCAAACCCACACAAAGTAAGAGCACTATATGGTAACTGCTCCTTCCTGCCATCATGGAAGGATGGATGCTTTGAGAATATTTTTCTTTTATGTTCAATTACTTTTTGGAGATTATTTGGTGAAGAAAATTCAATTCATGCCATCCCATCAACACATGTACAGCATGTCAAAGGGCAGCTTTACCAGGCAGGTCATGTGTGTGGTCAGTCATTCTTCCACAGTCTGAACTCCCATCTCCAAGGAGTGATACAGAAGGAAAGTGGACAGTATGTTCCTATACTGATGACACTACACCAGAATCTTTGTCAGAGTTGGTATCGTGTCAGTACAAAGGGATGTAACAACCGAAGCAAGTGCAAACAGTCCTCACTTACATGCACTGGTGCGAGAGCCAGTGTTCATAAATTACTGACTCAGCTAGTGTTTTCAAGATGTTTAAAGAGTATTTTGGGTCAGTATATTTAGAAAAAATCATCCCATTATTGTACTGATGGCAGGCCCAAAGCTATAACGGAAGTTTCAGAAAAAGGCAAAATATTATTTGTCTTACTGCGCATGCGCAAATTAAAATATTTTGAGTGCTCCATAATCCTAAAATGTTCACTTATGCATCAATCTATAAATGCCAAGTTTCATGCTTTTATCATTAAATGCACATTTTCATCTCAAAGCTTAGCCAGCTCCACTCATGGCAGGCTGCCGATGTAGGCTTGCAGATGACGTCATAATAGTGTCCTTGTCGTCACAATCCGAATGACGTCACATATACCCCCAGGCTAAGCACGATGGGCGGTAGTTGCTAGGTGAGCGGGCCTATTGTTCTGTTCATGCGGTTCAGTGCAGGCAGTGAAAAGAAGTTGAGCGTGAAAAAAGAGAAGATCAACTAGTTATCTGTTTTGATTTGAATTCCAAACTGTATCAATCGACATCGGAAAGTAAGTACTTCATATCATCATTATCTAATTTATATATTTTAATATTCTTACAAGAAAAACAAACATGTCATAAATCCAATCATCGTTTAGTAATAGTCAAGTCATGTAATAGATTTCAGGAAATATTCTCCTGATATATCCAAATGGTCTTTATACAGTGTGATAATCTTGCAAATCGAACCACGACCCACGGACGTGACGACGAGTGAACACATTACTAGTATATCACTCATTAAACAATTGCCAATCCAAAGTGATTATGACCATCACATATACATGACGGGACAAAGCAAGCAGAAACATTGCACTTAATGTATATAATAATTTTACTCACAAATTTATTGCGGATTTGAATGAGAATGTATACATTTTCTTTGATATTATTTGACATCTCCATGCCTTCTTTAAGGATGCCACTTGAATATTTTGAGACCTACCACTCCGACGATTTGGAGCTCATCAATCGAATGGATGAATCGATTCCAAAGTTTGGAAGTCGAGAAAGGTTATGGTAGCTGAGAGTCCGAGAGACCGATGAAGAAAGGAAGAGGAGAAGAAAAAGGAGGAAGTAGATAGAAGAAGGAGATGGAGAACAGAGGAAGATACGAGGAAAAGAGGAAAGAGAGATGCGGCAGAAGGAGGATAGAGGGAGCAATACCATGAATAAAACGGACTCAAGAACGATGCGATGAATGAACGAGAAGGGAAAGAAAATGGACCGTAGGAGCTATGGTGTAGCCAGACAGATGGCATGAGATGTCAGCTGTGAGATGGCTTCAAACTCAATTTCCGGTGAAAGACTCTCAAACAAAACAGAAACTCGAAATTCTGAGAGGAAGAATCCCAAGGCAGGAGACACGAGAAGGAGAGAGTTGTTGCTTAGAGGTGAAGCGAGTTAAGGAGAGAAAGGTGAAGGAAGGAGTGATAAATTTTCTGACAGGCGCACCACCAGTGTGTCCGGCGCGAGGTCAGATCGGGATGCCAGCTCGGATTGCGATCTCATTAAAACAAGGACAGGAACATTGATGTGCTTTGACATCCCTGTCTCCGGTCAGAGATCTCATGCGATATTGTACGGTGATGCCCCACTTCAGTTGAAATATAACTTATATTGTACATATATTGTTTTGAGAATTGTAATATCACTGAGTGTTAGCATGGTGTGGGAGGAAAACCCTAAATGTTGTGTTCACCAGTGAAAACCGCCACCGTCCATCGTGCTGGAAAACCCGGAAACATTACCAGATCAAAACATTATTACAGATCAAACCGGGATTCGAACCCTTTCACATCAGCTTGTGAACTGCAACTCAGCGGCTTTGAGCCCCGTGTATCCATGCATAGTGGGTGTCAGTAAAAAGTGTAGATCCGGGGAAGAGTCTCAATCTATTTTGACAATACTGTAAAATACGCACAGTTAGCTGGTTAAGTTTCCAATCCACACTAAGTTTCCAATCCACAAAACGTTCCTAGCGCATGACATTAGTAAGCCTATGATAAACTATACAGTTACGACAGGTCGTAACGTTACGAACATTTTGTGGATTGGGACCCAGGAAAATATCCGAAATTTCCACACAAGTTCTGAGACGGTCCCAACTATCAACCCCCAACCACTTTACGAGCATAAAGAGGGTAATAAACATTTGGCGGTTATTCCGGAGAGTACCTTTGTTTATACTGTATGATCGGCAGGATAAGCGGTTGGGTGGTTTGTTGCTTAAGGACGCACTCAGCAACAGTCCAGCTATATGGCAGCAGTCTGTAAATAATCGAGTCTGGACCAAACAATCCAGTGATCAACAGCATTAGCATCGCTATACGCAGCTGGGATACGATTGTATGTGTCAACCGAGCCTGACCACCCGATCCCGTTAGTCGCCTCTTACGACAAGCATGGGTTGCTGACGAATCCTAACCGGTGTCACGTCACCTGTACATCGATTGAATGTCTGGCACATTTGTCAAAGCCAAGCCACGCTGGATGCGGAGAGGCGGTGGTTAGGTAGCTTATGAGAGATTCATGGAATCCAGGCTTGCACTACACTGAAGCAAATATTACATGTGGTGTCTCCTTACACTTAGTTCGATATATGACGCCGTTCACCCAGTAGTAAATGGGTACCCCGAAGAATGAGCTGAACATGGGTCACCTCAGCAACCTATGCTTGTCATAAGAGCGGGTATTCACGATGAATGGAGACAGGACGATTTGTCGCCTTTACGTAACCTATACATAGTGTTTGTCATGCTGTTTGTTTGTAAATGACACCAGTTGGTAACAAATGACACGTGACATGTCCTCCAAGAAATGAGTTGAACACAAACCCTGTCAGTTTCCTACAAACAGCCTTTATGACTTCTCGTGTCATTCCGGCACAAGCCGCCGGTAACGGAAAAGGGCGAGTGGTGACGAATAAACAAGCAGGATTCGAGTGTTCATTCGACTTCATGGTTATTTAAGATCCTATAAGTCAAACAAACAACTATTCTCAGTTTTAGTATAAAAAAGCATGATTTATTTAGGCACGAGGTTTAGATGAAGGCGTAACGACGGAAACTTTAAAGAGGCGTCTAAGAAAGTAAACTTGACACGCTGCAGCGACGACCACGACGACACATTGAGCCACAGACCAGTAGCCGACGTAGCGGTTGTTGCCCATGATGAGGTACCAGTCTCGGATGACGTTGAGCCGGCTCGTCATCTGGTGCTTCTTGACTTCATTCAGGGAGAGTTCCACATCCGACAGGGACGCCTGGATACATCAGTATATCATATAGCACATTTATATAATAGAAGTATATCATATATCGACCTTCGCAATTGGGGCGAAAAATATACCATGACATGTTTTGATCAACGCCGCCCTGAGCAATATTCCAGCTAGTCCGCGAGCCTTCGAATTGGGAACCCATGACATGTAATCGCCTCGCCTCTTACGACAAGCATGGGTTGCTGAAGACCAATTCTTTCCTGGATCATCACGGGAATTCATAAAGTTACATAATATATTTACATATACACAGCATGAACTCATTCTTTAAACCTCAAATAAACATGAAAAGTTTCAATGCCGTTATAGAATCTAAAAACAGATTTTGGCTGAAATATTTAGCATTATAACAAATAAAACAGGTCTGATATATCAGTGATAAATTTACATTAAGTGTCATCGAGCTTAAGATTATGTTGTCAGAGAGGGGGTGGGGAATTCGGCACCTCTACGGTACATACCGAGAAATTCGTGGCAATTCCTTGTATTTCTGTCACTTCCATGACGTACTTGGACCACTGTTCCATAACGAACGTCACAAGATAGAAAAATACTAATTTGGAGCTGAATCGACTCTGTGTGTTGTCAAAACATACTTGGTAGATTCCTGAAAGACAAAGACAAAGAGATCAGCAAAATCAGAAGTCACATGCACCCGATACAATTGTGGCATCTTGGGGCGGGGGTGGGAGCGAGGGCGATTGGGAGTGATGACATGCCATCGAAGCGTCCATAAAAGACTCATCTCAAGCTTGACATGACATGCACGCCGAGTCACCTGGTACCGAACGGGCGCCTTACATCGCTATTGAACTTTGTCGCGAAATATAAACTAAAAAACTAACTATAGAAACTAGCTGATTCCATAACTCCAACATGTGAAGAATAACCGACTCGAATCTGAATTATAATCACTGCAGTCTTAATACCGTATCAAACTGACGGTTCGGAACAACAGCTGTACCTTCATTTGAACATTTCCCAATATACTGAGGTTAGGTGGAGCAGCTTAAACGTGATAGCGTTAACTGAAGATCTGACTATGAATCTGTTATGTGTGCCCTTCACGTGTACACTTGTTTGTGAAGCCAGCCATGATGTTGCTACCAGTGAAGGTCCGGGTTAGAATATTGATCTTCAGTAACCCATGCTTGTCGTAAGAAGCGACTAACGGGATCGGGTGGTCAGGCTCACTGACTTGGTTGACACATGTCATCGGTTCCCAATTGCGCAGATCGATGCTCATGCTGTTGATCACTGAATTATCTGGTCCAGACTCGATTATTTACAGACCGCCTCATATAGCTGGAATATTGCTGAGTGGGGCATAAAACTAAACTCACTCACTCACGGTATTTGTAAATATCGCTACAAACAGCGTAAAATCCATTTCACACAATCAGATCTGCCGATGATATCCTTGTTAAATTATACAGTAAGTTAAGTAGATACCTAGTCAAAATGCAAAGTAATATACGTAGATACTGGTTCAATTATACAGTAAATTAAGTAGATATATTAACAGTAGTGTACTGTATTGGACAGTACACTTCGTAGATACTGCTTCAATTATTACTGTAAAATAAGCACAGTGTACTGTAGGTACCCGGTCTACACCAGGTCCGTAACAAGCACAGATACTGCTTCACTTATAGAGCAACATACGTAGATACTAGTACATGTGTATGTACAGTATTTGGCCATAAGTGAGTCATCATTAGTGAAATTTCCATAGACTTACATGTTAATTAACTGTTGCAAGAATGATTTTCATAAACTGAGTAGAAGTCATTTTATTTTGATAATTTGCAAACATCTTGGAAATCATCTTCATCTACGTGTACATAATTTTCTTTCATCTTTCCGTTGATTAGTTATCGAATGACACCTAATTAAGCACCATAGGTACAACTTAATTTTAATCTATTCCATAGACAGCCATGTTAAACCTGATTGGTGTCTAATATTTGTTGTTTAAATAGTTGTAGTTTTCTTAATAATCACCGGTAAATTGAATGGAAATTATGTGTATGTAGCTGAGATGATTTCCCAGCTGGGAGATCAGTATTTAAAGCAATTAGTCCGAAACTAAATTTATGAAAATTATTCTTGCAAGAGTTAATTAACACGCAAGTCTATGAGAATTTCACTTGTGATGACTCACTTATGGCCAACTACTGTAGGTACAGTACCGGATCCACCTGTACAGTAAAGCGTGTAGACACTAAACTTTATTATACAGTAGCTCATCTAGCAATTTTATCTTCTTCAATTATACTGTTTAAAACACGTAAACATTTTACCTGGCCCTGTACAGAAAAACACTTTATTGGTAAACATTACCTGGTTCTCTAATACCGTGAAACACGCAATTGTTTACAGGACAATACTTCGATATTTAACCTGTATCTTAACCTGATATCTTATCCGTTGTCTTACCTGATTCCTTCATACCATCAATACATATGATCTATACGTGCTTCTATCACACAGTAAAATACGTAGACATCTGACCTGATTCTTTCATACCATCAATACATATGATCTATACGTGCTTCTATCACACAGTAAAATGCGTAGACATCTGACCTGATTCTTTCATACCATCAATACATATGATCTATACGTGCTTCTATCACACAGTAAAATGCGTAGACATCTGACCTGATTCTTTCATACCATCAATACATATGATCTATACCTGCTTCTATCACACAGTAAAATGCGTAGACATCTGACCTGATTCTTTCATACCATCAATACATATGATCTATACGTGCTTCTATCACACAGTAAAATGCGTAGACATCTGACCTGATTCTTTCATACCATCAATACATATGATCTATACCTGCTTCTATCACACAGTAAAATGCGTAGACATCTGACCTGATTCTTTCATACCATCAATACATATGATCTATACGTGCTTCTATCACACAGTAAAATGCGTAGACATCTGACCTGATTCTTTCATACCATCAATACATATGATCTATACCTGCTTCTATCACACAGTAAAATGCGTAGACATCTGACCTGATTCTTTCATACCATCAATACATATGATCTATACCTGCTTCTATCACACAGTAAAATGCGTAGACATCTGATCTGATTCTTTCATTCCATCAATACATATGATCTATACCTGCTTCTATCACACAGTAAAATACGTAGACATCTGACCTGATTCTTTCATACCATCAATACATATGATCTATACCTGCTTCTATCACACAGTAAAATACGTAGACATCTGACCTGATTCTTTCATACCATCAATACATATGATCTATACCTGCTTCTATCACACAGTAAAATGCGTAGACATCTGACCTGATTCTTTCATACCATCAATACATATGATCTATACCTGCTTCTATCACACAGTAAAATACGTAGACATCTGACCTGGTTCAACTATATCTTTTTCTACCTGGGATTTTTACCTCGTTCTCTCACACAGTAAAATACATAGAGGCTATTTTGTTAATGTTGTCAAATAACTTGTATATTTCATCGAGTGGTCTGACAAAGTTGATATGTTCACGAGTGTCGCAGCTTTATCAGACCACAAGATGAAATACATGTTATTTGACAACATTAACAAAATATTCTATTTATTATATTTTGACCAATGTTTATTAATGATCGAGACACCCTCTTTAAACAGAAAGTAGTTCCAGGCAAAAGTGATATTCTACTCAGTGAAATAACATGGTATTCTACTCAGTGAAAATACCATGTTTATTTTCACCAATATTTACAGTATTTCACCCTTAAGATTATAATAGGTAGACATCTTACCTGGTTCAATTATATCTTTTTCTACAGCTCCATCAGTCCTCATATAATACTCGTCGACTACGTTAAGGTAGGGATCCTTCAAGAAAAAGTCGATATTCCTATCTCCCCCTCGTAAAACCTGTAAACAAACAAATAGTAGCTCGTTGAATATTTACCAACCAGGATATTTGTACACTGAGCAGGGTCACCTTCAACAGGGGCACGAGTGGCGTCTCAGTTCGAGCAGAGTTGCGTCCATTTGCTGTGTCAGGATCCTATATTTGCTGGTTCGAATTCAATAATTTCGTTGATGAACAACAATAATAATTATAATCATTATATTCAACACCATCATCTCCATCACGATCCTGGATTTGTGTCCATCCCAGATACCATTCACAAAATGCAAACATTATTGACCTGAGCAATGGATTAGTGTGAACTGGATGTTTTATTCTCATCTCCCTGGGGAACATATAACCCAAGCTCACTGTGAAGCTTAACAGTCCAGCTTACCTGGGGCGATGGGGTAGCCTAGTGGTTCGAATCCCCACATGGGTATCATGTGTGAAGCCCATTTCTGGTGTTCCCCGCCGCGATATTGCTAAAAGTGGCGTAAAACCCTATTCACTCACTCATCATATTACCGCCTCCACCTAAAACCTATTTCGGGTCGGGGTCGATGTATATTTTTTTGGATATGTTTAATTATGTTACTTTCATCCCGCCATTTCATGACTTAGGTATATAGGTTTCCGTTTTGCCTTATTTGGGAAAATTCTGACGTGTCTTAGAGATTTGACACTAGAAATTGAGCAAATGAGACTTGGAAAATTAGATAGTATTTGGGATTTGGACGAGGTGGGATGGCACCCTCATTAGACAACCCGATGCTGTTTTGTTGGTTTGTTGTTTAACGCTGCACTCAGCAATATTCCAGATATATGGCGCCAGTCTGTAAAATAATCGAGTCTGGACCAGACAATCCAGTGATCAACACCATGAGCATCGATCTACGCAATTGGGATACGATGATATGTGTCAACCACGAAAGCGAGCCTGACCCCCGATCCCGTTTGTCGCCTCTTACGACAAGCATGGGTTGCTGAAGACCAACTCTTATCCGGATCTTCACGGGTATAAACACGTATATAACTCTTTACTCCTCCGTTCACGTGACATCCTTTGATAAGTGTGATTTATCATCAACCCATATCGACGTGACAAATTGCACCATTATAAAAGAAAAATATCTGATTTAGGAGGACATGGCCTTGCAGACAATGCCTGATGATGGATAACTAAACATTTGACCCGCAAGAATAGTTACCCATTGATGTGACATCTGTTAAAAAGCGTGTCATGTGGACAATTAACAATCGGATCAAGCTAGTATGTACGTGACAATATAAATCGCCGTTTCAAACACAACAGCCAATTAAGAAATCGTTCCCTCTAAACCCGCGCACCCCTTTCCAATAATGGACGATTCTATGGCTCAAAGTGAGAAACTCCGCTCATTAAAGTCTCTCCTATAATCATGTTGCACCAATCTATAATACAATTTCAAATATCCATTAAATGTAGCTAGTACGACACGTTTAGCACAATCAATGCACAGAGTAGTGGTTTTATGACGTATAGTCGATACCGTTAGAGACACAGGTGCACTCGAACACCTGGCGACACACGGCTAGATTCTGCAGTACACACACGAGTCTGTAGTGTGTGTCATCAGTTTGCCAACATCACTAAATGCATCATTCATCACTGTCATCGACATCCCATCTAAGTAGTGCATAATCTCAACAATCTGACAAGCTTGACAGCATATTGTCCCATCAGCTGAAACGTCATTAGGCAGATATCTCAGAGCGTTTAGCTTAGATTGAGCAGGCATGAAATTATTGCTGTTACATCATGACATTTATCAAACACATGTATACACTGTTTTCAGTTTTGCTACATTGTGAACTTGTAGTTCAAGTATCTTATGTACATTAATATACAATGGCACACAAATTAGGTGTTCGATTAGCATACATTTCGTGTGTTGGTCAAACATAGACCCTAGGAATATAAATGGTGAATATGTTTAGAAGGTATTAACATCCTAGTATCTGTTTACAACCCCGCTATTACCGTTTGTAAAATATTTGTTATTAAAGGTGAATCATGTGAACTAAGAAAGCACACGCCAATGTTTGATGGTGGTTAAAACTGAAACGAAAAAGATTTTGGTTTATCAGACAGCTGTGTATTTGACATGGTTATCATAGGTGTTATCTATCTATCTATCTATCTGTTTTTCAATATTTATATATTAACCTTGCAATGTATACACGCACGTGTGTGTGTATGTGTGTGTTTATATATGTACTTTTAGACACGGCGATATGAAACAAATCATAATCTAGAGAAAACATGATCTGAATATGATCGGCATGTCTCAAAGCTTAAAAACAAAAGGTCTCATAATTGAAAATAAAGCTAAACAAACTTTTTGGTTCATCAATTGTTAACTCGGTAATTATGGCAGTGTGGCAGTCAATGTCCGCATGTATGATTTTAATTTGGTCAGTGTTATTAAGTTAACAGCTAAGTGCAGACAGTTCAGCAGCAGGTGTCGACAGCACCGTGCACAAGCTGTCATAGCTCTCGTGTTACAACATAAGGACCCCCGGGCTTGTAATTGGTTGATTTCGCCAAATTCAACAATATTCCAGCTATATGAAGGCAGTCAAGTGAGACATTTTGTGTGATGTTAATGATTCAATTTGGGCCCGCAATGATGCAAAAGCATTCATTTCACAAAGTGTCGACACTGGACCAGACAATCCAGTGACTGACATCACGAACATCAACCTTTGAAATGGGTTACGACGAGATACATCTACCAAGACAGCGAGCACAACCATCAGATCCCGTTAGTCACCCTTGAAACAAGCACTGTGCATGATGGAAGAAGCCTTACCACCGGATACATTTTCTTTGTTTATTAAACGCTACACACAACAATGTTCCATCAATAAGGCGGTTGTCTGTAATTATCGAGTCTGGACCAGAAAATCCAGAGATTGACATCATCTGCCGTTGGGATTACGAGGACGTGTCAACCAAGTCAACCAGCCTGACCACCCGATCCCATTAGTCTCCTCTTACGACAAACATTGATTACTGAAGATCAATTCTAACCCGGATCTTCACGGGTATCCCGATGGTGAAAACGACTTCTAATAGCCGGCTAACCGTAGACACCCTCTTTCACGTATGTACCTTGCTATACTTGATGTCCTACAGAAAGCTGTCAACACTGGAGAGGAAAGCTTCGTCTAGGGTTGAAAAAAACTTCAACATAACCTTATTTTTTCAGATATTACCACAGGATCCTGGCTTCAATAAGGGAAAGAAATCCTAAATGCGAAAATGTATTTTAACACATCTGACTCTGCATAGTAGTAAGGAAAGAACACGTTGTCAACTGACTGTGTCCCCTGTATATTGGATACATATACAGCCTTTCTGCCCACAGGGGATTATACACACCAAACAGGCTCCTTTTGGAAAGTCTTCTACGTTCATGCGGGGAATCGAACCCGGGTGTTCGGCATGACGAGGGAGAACTTTAACCACTAGACTGCCCCACCGACCCTGGTTGGGTCAGTATAACGTATCTTAGTATGCTCTTTGGCAAGAACTACCCTGAGTATGGACTAGAGTAGTACCAGTATTCCTACACATTTGCGCAGACACACACACGCACATGCACGTTGCTACATGAATGAAACAAGAAGACATGGTCATCAACATCCCCCGCCCCACAGTTCCTGTTTTTTAACTCCACCACGACCATCATGTCCTGAAAACACATGCCACATTTGGTTTCCCTTCTATAACGGTTTCTGAGAAACTCGGTTCCCATTGGGGATAACGTAAGTTGAGAAACGCATGACAAGGCCCATAACTCTGTAACAAATTGTAACACGGTTCCCCTTGTCGAACTCTATCAAGGCATTCATGTTCTGAAAACACAAACTAAATTTGGTTTCCTTATCTATAACGATTTCTGAGAAAATCTGTCCCCATCAGGCCGGCTGGACAGACGGAGTTCAAACCTATATACCCCTCACGTCGTGGCAGGGGGATAATAACCTTGAACTTGACTTTATGGACACACCACATTTCACCTACTTTCCTTAATGTATCACGTTACGTGCAGTGGGCGATTAAATCCGCCTCCAGCTGAGCATTCAATGTCACCTTTCAATATAATCTCCGTGAGTGTGTTTACAAATCCAGTTATGTTGACATACCTTTTTCCGATATATAATACATCACAACCGTGTACAATGAGAATGTATATCAACTGTTGAACTAGCGTTAGGGGGTGTCCGCTATGTTCTTCAGTCATCAGATACGATGGACCAAAATATTTCGTTTTCAATATTTCACAATAGAGATTTTGGTGGAGATGTTGTGTGGGTTTGTTTTGTGAAAAACACTTCGTAAAAACGCGTTCACGTTCATGACTGAATTAAATAGAAAATAATATGCGTTCACCGCCATGTGTGTATAGTACCATGTCATCAGTACAATGTCATGTATCTCTATTGCAGCATGACAATGCACAAGTCAATAGTGAGTTTGTACCTATCAAACACAGCAGCCTAAACCTTGCATACAAGGGACACAAGTTTCGAGTTAAGAGAAGACGCGATGCAAGTGTACATTAAAAGGGCGGTAGGGTTGCATAGTGGTTAAAGCAAGAATTCGCTCGTCACTTCGAAGACCGGGGGTGGGAGGGGTGGGAGGGTTGGGTGTGTGTGTGTTAGCCTAGTGGTTAAAGCGTTCGCTTGTCACGCCGAAGGTCCGGGTTCGATTCCCTACATGGGTATAATGTGTGAAGCCCATTTCTGGTGTCCCCCGCCGTGATATTGCTGGATTATTGCTAAAAGCGGCGTAAAACTAAACTCACTCACTCACTCACTCACTCGAAGACCTGGGTAAGATTCCTTCCGTGGGTACAATGTGTGAATCCCATTTCTGGTGTCCCCCCACCGTGATATTACTGGAATATTGCTAAAAGCGGCGTAAAACTAAACTCACTCATATAGCTGGAGCTCTGTTCGGCGTAAAACT